AATCTTTAGAAGAGGTAAAATGTATTAATGATATTTTATATTTTAGAATTAAAATGTTTATCTACAATGCTGCATATGCTACATATGTTAAAACATACGTACAACAAAAATAAATAATTTCAAAACAAAAAGATTGCATAAAATTTTACGTTTAATTATAATTACAAAAAAAGTGTAGATATAATTTATATTTAGTTTAGGATGCGAAAAATGGCCACTATTATGCAAAAATTATAAATACGAGATAAAGGAAGATCGAACAATTTTTATTCCATCATAAAATGTGAATTCACCGATTATTATTAAATAAAAATTTTTCGAATAACCCAGCTAGTATTATCTTATACCTATATTATCACTATCAACTAAAACTTTGTAAGTTTTAACATCAGATAAATTAGATAAAACTGTGCAGGAGAAACTGATAAAAATTTATTAATTTTTAGTTGATAAAAGAATAAGTTTATGTACTTTTTAAGATTCAGAAATGCAACACTTCTTGGTTTTAGTCTTTAACAACAATTTTAGTCTTTAAAATATTTTTATGTTACATATATTTATTTAATATAATACGTCTAATATATTTTTAAAACATTTTTAGTCTTTAATACATTTTTATATTCTGCTACACGTTATTTAAAAGTCAATTTTTGTATTTGTGCAATTCTTGTATCTTGTCAAGCATAACCATACTTATTACAGTATTGTTATAATTACTCAACAAAATTCTTGTTCGTTTTAATAGTATATTTTCAGGTTTACATAATTACTTATGAGATCAAAAAATCTTTTACAAAATTATAAAAATTATGCAACATAGAACTGTTTTGATCCCATACATCTAAACTTTCATCGCTAAAAAGAAAATACGTACTGAATATTTATCCCGAATACTACATCATTACAAGTTTCATCAAAGCCTGGAACAGTAAGGGGATTGCAGCTGATTAAGATTATTTATCGGTATATGAGCGCTGTCTTACATCGTATTATTCATGTAATTTGTGCATGTATTAGTAACTGAGATGGCCATTTATGAGTATACAATTCAACTGTCCGAAGATGTGTGAAAGGAGACGAAATCTTGTAAGGAGTTGTAGATAATACATGATATGTATACTGATTTATGAGGATACTCGCGATAAGCTGTGTTTTATTTCATTCGTGAGTTTATAGAGTCATTTCAGGTAAAAACCGAGTAACTATTACCATAAAAGTGTAAAATCTCATAAATACCTAAATTGTACAAACCATACGATTAGTGATTAAAGCTTGTGACTAACAAGAAAAGTCTCTCAACTCGAAAATTCTGATTTCAATAACACTTTGTAAAATTGCAGAAGATATTATGTCATATAAGGAATGTCTTTTCTTTCAACCGAAAATATTGTGGTTAGAAAATTATTGCGTAAAGTTTTTTTCCTGAAGGTATTATAATATGAGTCAGCTTTTGCATTATAAGTTTTCGCCATTTCTTACGATTGATGCAGATACAATGAGTCAAGATGACATTCATGGATTATGTAAAAGAGACAAATTTTTAGAATAAATGATAAGTGTCATTTTTTAGAAGCTCGAGAAATTAGATTTATAGTAGTTCCGTTATTTAGAAAAAAATGTAAATTGAATTCTAGAGAAGTGGAAGTTATTTTGTGAAATATTTTTATTCGAGATTTTAATACAAAAAACTGTCTTCTGCAATTACTACTAAGAAATCGAACGTGACTGTGAGTTGCAGATTCGTATTAAATATCAATATAAATTGTACTTTTTTCGTAATTCTCGGCGAAAGCGTCCTTAAGAAATTCTTAAGAACATCGATGTGCAGGATATGTGCAACGCTGAAATCATGGATGTATAAAAATTTCAGTATTACAAATTTTGAAATTTTGAAATTTAGGAATTTGAGAATTTGGCGATTCGAGAATTCAGGAATTTGGAAATTTTTAAATTAGGGAATTTAGGGATTTGGGGATTTGAGAATTTGGAAATTTGAGAGTTTGGAAATTTGACAGTTTAGAAATCTGAGAGTTTGGAAATTTGAGAGTTTGGAAATTTGAGGATTTGGAAATTTGAGAGTTTGGAAATTTGAGGATTTGGAAATTTGAGAGTTTGGAAATTTGAGGATTTGGAAATTTGAGAGTTTGGAAATTTGAGGATTTGGAAATTTGAGAGTTTGGAAATTTGAGGATTTGGAAATTTGAGAGTTTGGAAATTTGAGGATTTGGAAATTTGAGAGTTTGGAAATTTGAGGATTTGGAAATTTGAGAGTTTGGAAATTTGAGGATTTGGAAATTTGAGAGTTTGGAAATTTGAGGATTTGGAAATTTGAGAGTTTGGAAATTTGAGGATTTGGAAATTTGAGAGTTTGGAAATTTGAGGATTTGGAAATTTGAGAGTTTGGAAATTTGACAGTTTGGAAATATGAGAGTTTGGAAATATGAGAGTTTGGAAATTTGAGAGTTTGGAAATTTGACAGTTTGGAAATATGAGAGTTTGGAAATATGAGAGTTTGGAAATCTGAAAGTTTGGGAATTTGAGAGTTTGGAAATTTGCAAATTTGCAAATTTGAAAAATTGAGAATTTGGGAATTTGGGAATTTAGAAATTTGGGAATTTGGTCTTTTAGAAATCTGAAAATTTAGAAATAAAATATCAAATCCAAGGATTTACAATTTTGAAAATTTGTAAATCCGCCTTAGATCATTGAAATATGATACCAGCTGAAAATTACGTGTAGTTCTACTTTTTGACCATCCACTTTCCTAGGCCTCACATGATTAATAGTAAATCGTCAATTAATCCTACAAGATTTATACCATTATTACTATTATTACACATCTTTTAATCTTTTCTACAATTTTAATATTTCCGATCGTAAAATTGATCACTCCAAGTATAATACCTACATATCAAATAAATTACCAACTCGTAATTTGATCGTAAACTCCAAGTTAAATGTTAACAAGTGATTATGAGGCCGTTATTTTTCTTCGTTTTTCATTTTATGATCTTAGCTAATTTCTGAACGATCCAATAACGATTTGGAAAATGTCGTATATGGTGATGAGCCAAAATCCGGAATCCTGAAATAATACACAATACGTTAAAACATCAAGTTCTATGTATCTAAAATAGGCAATCATCCTGTACAATAGAGATGACTCATGAATTTTAAAGCAGTTCCATGGACCAGTTAACAATCTACAATTTTAAATGCTTATTCACAGGGGACATAAATTTGTACTGCATAAATAACATTTTATTTCTTTTTATTAATGTTTCCTTTCATTTTTTATTTACTTCGATATCAATTTTACTTTTTTGTATTTCTTTTTTCTACGAATAGTTGACATTTTGAAAAATTGAGTTTGTGCGAATTACTTTTTAATGTGGGAATTCCGACACTTATAAAAAAATGAATTATAGAAATTATTTTAACGCATTTGGAGTTGAAATTATTTAATTTTTTAAGCTTTGATGGAAAGCTGCAATTTTTGGGAATTTTTTACATTTGCATTTTTTATTTTATATTATTTTTGTGAAAGCTGCTTTATTAAAAATATTTTCTTCCTTGAATATACAATTATTTCACAAAACTGTACTGTACATTGATACAATCAAATAAATTATATATCTAGTTAGCATGGATAATATACAAATAGTTATATTTACGTAGTTAACAATATAGTAAATCTTCCCCAAAAATTACCACGTTAGGTTAGATTATTCAACTGCAAAATTCGTTAAGGAAAGAAGTTGTGAAGATAAACTTTCCCTATACGTTACAAACAGGCTTTCGTTTACTTTGGTTTGTTTATTCATCTTAATATTTTTATTACTTTTGTCACTAAAAGAATTATACTGAAACAAAGTAACTCAGTTTAAAACGTCAAATATGTTTTATTATTTACTTCTTCTTTTTTCTTTTTGTTAAAATAATCTTTTAACGAGCCTCCACTATAGACATCTCTTTAATTGTTAATGTATTACCACAATTAAAACATAAATTTAAACCGTATCATGAACGAAAAAAGTTCAAAATATTTCTTAAGAAACAAAGCAGAATGTTCATTTCTTTTCAAAATCATATGTGAAATTCTACAAAAAATGTGCTATACTATAAATCTTTTAATAAGATGTGTTTTCAGTTTCATTTTGTATACAATAGAGTTTCTACTACACCATAAGACTTGTCAGAAAGAATTTTATACGCATGCATTCCTTCAACTATGGTCGAACGTTCAAGGTCATCTTTTATGTACCATACCCGAAAAAGTCCTGAAGCCAATAGAATTCATGCCGTCTATTTTTCACGGAATAAATATTTTGAATAGAAATAAAAAAAGTGCTTGAGTCCACAGTTTCCTGTCAACAATCGGGATTTTTTCATTCAAGGTTATTTGAAGGTTAATGTATGAATAGTTTGTAAACTATAAAAATATATTATTATACAGGAGATAAAGGTAGAAATAAATTGTCTTTCTTAGTTTATCAGCAAGCAATCTTTTTCATTCAAGGCCGTTTGAAGGTCGACACATCCTACGTATCTGAAGTCTGTTCTTTGCGAATTATGATAGTGTAATAATAAAAATATTACTGAATTAGTTAATTTTACTAAGAGACTGTTAGTGACCTTGAAAGTTGGAAAGAAATGACCTTGAAAGAACAAAATTTTTAAACACAGTTTGTATGAAACTTTATGTTAGCATAGTTTCTTGCATTTGCAAAAATTGCGTAGTTTCTGTATATAAGATAAATTCTATCTTTATTAAAAATTATACAAATTTTAATAATAAATTTTAATATAAGTATTTGACAAATTTTTATGTGTTAGAGGTTTCGATAACAATGTACGAGAAATTAGAAAAGGAATTGATGCTGCAGATTACGTGAAAATTTGTAGAAAAGTTAGTTGGAAGAAGGTAGATACAAGGTTGTTATTGTGATTGAGATGGTAGGGATATATCGAAGATCGGTGAATCGATATAAAAGAAGAACGAATACTAAAGCAGTGCCAGTTTTAGTAACTTTCTTTTAGGTATCACGTGGAAAAGTAAATTTCATTTAGTGACTCGTACTCTTCGCATGCGGATCTATAAACCATGTAAGTACAATTATTTTTATTATAATATTTTATTTCATTTTCAACGTTAATACATCATTTTGTGTTAATGTAAAATTCTCGTGGTAATACTTGAAATATATAATGATTCACAAAATTATCTAACAGTTTTCAAACTTTTATTAAGCACAATATCTTTTACACTATTTTTTTATACGAATTATTAATTTTGTTAACGAAGTTCAGTCTTTTATTAGTACTTCATTTAATACTAAAATCTTACATCTCATAATTCATTATATTTGAATTTCGTTAATTTTTTAGTTAAAACATTTCTACGGCGCTGTTTTCGATTGTGGTATTTTGTATCCTCGTTATGACACAACTCTCTCATTATCTTTTTTTTTTAATTGCATTCCTTTATCAATGTAAAATATTGTAATTTTTCAATACAGAATTAATCACAGGTATTAACGTGTTAAACTACGAATATTTAAATTTTGAATTGGAAAATAAGTAAGTGTGAAATATAAAACAGAATACACAATTATTTTCTTTTGGTATAAATTTCAAACATTTTGACAAAAGCGCGTAAATAATTTCTGTGATTTAAAATCTGCGATCCGGCATTCCAATAAATTTAGTGATTCTAGTGTTAAAAATTTATCACTTTGCATTTATCATGCAATTTAATAAAAGTTCAACAAAATATGCATCGTATCTCGTTTTTAGTAGTATTCAGATACTGAAAGTGAAATGTTTAATTTATTTTAATTAAATTTATTTTAACCTGTTTTATAAATTACACGATGACGTTCGACACACTTTTTTTTATTCGAAATGGTTTATAAAGTAACTGATTATGTATTAGTCAACATTTTATACAAATGAATTAACGAATACATTTTTACAATTGGAAACAGACTCGAATAAATATGAGTCACAGTAGGAATATTTAAAAGCGAATACTCGAAAGAGGAAAGAAGTTGAAAAAAGGACAATTCCTGTGCGTTCAGTCATTTTTGACGAATAACAAGAATATTATTTTTAGACGTACAAATAATCTGAAAATTGTCACTCAAAGTTACGTAAAAATTCACTTTTTTAATAATAATATGAAACGAAATGCAATATGAAGGTATGAAACATTTAGCCAGATCATTTGTTTGTCATTTTAATCATAGGAGTTTGTGGTTACAGTCATCAATTATATAATATTAAATTGCTTTTGTATAAATCATTTACATCAAAACTCATGAACATTTTACAGTTTTAAATTAAAGTATAAATAATAAATTGGAAAGTTATTTGTAACTTTACTAAGATATTAATCGATTTAATAGAATGTAATAAAATTTAATAATGAGTAGTTTAAGGTGTATTTAAGTTGAGAAGAATAATTGGCTATAACTAATATTTAAAGTAGAAAATGTAATCCTGAAAATAAATATTTCGATAAATAAAAAAAAAAAAAAAAACAAAAAGTTCATGAGAATATAATTATAAAAGTTGTAGGAGTAAAGTGGTGACAAGGTACCAAATGGACCAAGATCTTCTCCGAAAGATAATCGAATAGCTAAGATATATTTGCGTTACCTCGTGAAATAATTCTTTCTCTTTTTTCCAAAAATGTATATATAATTAGTAGTTAGTAAAAAGTGGACAGATAAATAAGATACAAAAAGGGAGAAAGGAAGATAGAGAGGCAAAGTGAAACACAGCCGGGGCCGAGGAAAGAATGACGTGAGCTCCAAAATATCATTCTTGGAATGTAGGACATTAGAAAAGTAAAAATCAAGAATCTCTGTATGTGTGCATTCCTTTCTCTTTCGATCGAGACGATGTGGCCTGGATCAGCTATTTCCGGGTGATGGGTCTTCCTTTTTCCATATATTAAAATTAATGCTTTTCACCACTTTACTCGGATACACTGTACCTGAGATATGGCAGCTTCCATGTGTTCGATACTTTCTTCAAACTTTATTTTCGCAGCTCTTAGGATCTCCGTGTTCATTTTCATTTCTTTCGTAACGAAAAAATGATTTCTCCCCTGTTTATATTTCAAATAAATAGCACTATTTGCTAGGATAGTTTATCTTTTTCTGTAAGAAATTGCACATAATAGTTTAGTTTATTGATTTGTTTACAAAGATGAAGCTTGAGCACGTAATATTAAAAAAAACTAACTTCGAATTCACGAAATACTTATATCTAGTTGTAAAATGTTTACATTAGTTATAAACAAAAGATGACAAAATCCATTTTGAATATACAGAGTATTCTTCTGGTCAAACATTGTTACAAAAATAATATAAATTAAAATAAAAAATAGGGGTATAGTAAGCAAAAATGTTATATGATGTTGAAATGAACATGAAATGTTTTAATAAAAAATAGATGGGGATTTTGTTGTTTTAAAATTGAGAAGTGTTCGCTATTGAAGTGGGGAGCCTTTCAATTTTTAACACAAATGAATTCAAATTTGTTATTGCATTGCAGAATGTTGCTTCAACGCAAACGCAATTAAGCTTTAATAATTTTGCAGGAAAAATTACTTAAGTATGATCTAATATACTATCTAATATTTATCTATGTAAAATTTATGTATTAATTTATACTAATCGTTCTTACTATTCCTGCTTGTTTTAAACGATTCAGTTGAACATAGAACATCAAATTCGAGCAATGTAGTGGGAGACACAGAATATAAAGTCCTATTTGCACCAACTAATTTTATAAGATATTAGTTAAAAATTTGAGTCGACCTTTAAAGTCAATAATTGATGCAATTATGTTTTCATCAACGTAACATAAACGAACATCGTTTGAAGCTCTGTTAGAGAGTTATGACACAAATATAAAACACAAACGGTAATGGAGATTGCAGTTACAATAATGTACCGTAGGAATAGATCAACACTATTTGCATCTAGTTTGTTTATGCACGTTACGAAATACAAGTGTGTCAGTAATTGAATAATCATTTTCTTCAAACGTGAATAGGTGGATTAACAAAGCGAAGGATCGATACTTTGGCCTCGAAGATCATTTTGTAGGAAAAAGTGAAATAAAACGGAGTCATAAACCGATAAACTTAACTTTTATTGTTAATTAACTTATGCAAATTAATATTGCCTTCGTGTTTCTTATTTTTATTATAAACTTTTAATGGAATTTTAAATAATATTGATTTTTCGTGTCTATTTTAATAACTTCTCATTTGTATTTATTATATGTTTTATATAGAAGCACAGAAATATTTATAATAAATAAATAATCAATATTTATATTGATATATTTCTATCACGTATAATACAATAAATAATAAATATAAAAAAATAATATTAGTAAATAATAAATAAATAATCACAACTAAGATTCAATAAATAACTATTAATTTATTTTTATATATTAAAATTTGTATTGATCGATATTTGTATTTACTTCTTATAATTTTGAAAATTTCGACATGAGAACGAACGAAGCAAAGAAAAATTAGCAATGACAATATTAGGAATGACGAACTTCCCTAGGGAAAATAAATTGAACCATTCAACATGGCTATAAACATAAAAGATTTAAATAATGCATGAAAATTGTCTAAATCGTAATTTGCAAGATACCAATATTAAAATGAATTTAGAATGAAGATGTATAACTATTAATTACTTAATTATTTTAATTTCATATAGACCATAAGACTTTAACTTACTTTCACTTTGAGCCAAATTTTGTTTAATTTTAGTTTGGTTAATTTTAGGGTTTAATGGCATTGAAAATTGGTTTTGTGCAAGAACCTTCACTCCGAGCTCCTTAGCCTATAGCGTCGGGCTGCTAGACTCATTATAATATTTAGATCTGAAAATAACGCTGACCAAATGAAAATTTCAACATTATTGTCACGAAATCATTCTTTTACCAAGTGTACGGACTCACTATCGGGTCACTATCGTGTTAAAAAATTCAACCTTGTTACTCTTTAACATATTCAGTTATCTCCAACGTGTTTGCAAGAGTATTTAAATACTTTCTTGAGTCTTGTCTCCAGTCTGTAACTACAAAATCAACAACTCAGATGTAGGAAATTGCATCTAATATCATAACGGAACTACGAGATGAATGACAGCGGGAATGTGTTCTTCTCTCCGTAGATCATGATAATAGCTTGTACATCCATTCGAAATCAAAATTGAAAGTTACTTACCTACTTTCGGGCGATAAACGAATTTCGATCACGTGTCAAAAAAATTTGAAAAGTATATATTACAAGACATTTGACGTCGTCGTTTGTTTATCTTATTGAAATCTGTTTTAGTCGTTAATTGTCGTAATATTTTAGTTTGCAGCTATAATTATTATATTTTAGTGCTTAATATCAGGATAATATGGTAATGGGATCCTTTTTTGGGCTAAAAATTTGTAGGTCGAAAATTTTGAACCGCGTGCCAATTTTTGCTAAATTAGCTACCGAATTAGATAAATTCGATAACTTGTATATCAAATTATACCTAAGGCACCTAATTTAAAAAGCTTGATAAAAAGGAAAATATACATATATTTATCTCTTATAAATTTATTTGTGAAATTAACATTAAAATAATTTACTTTGAAACAAATTTAAATTAACGTTAAAGCACTTTAGCAATTGTAACAGAAACTTTGGTACAATATTGAAAACAGGTAAAACTATCATTGTTAAAATGTTCAGAATATATCAAACCATTATTAAACTTTTGTTGCATCATGTTATAAATATAATACACAAAATAATATTTGAGGTGAAATTTGTATATGAAATAGTTGCATTTTGTCCAACATAAATGAATCAGAAACTGCTTAATTAATGAAACCATCAAAAATATTTGTTGCCTTTTGTAATTATACCTTCTGAAAATAATTCTTACTTTCGTGTTATGCCTTTTTAAAATATTGTAAATTTGAAACAATATACATAAATAAAATTAATTTTTTAGAAAGAAACTATTTAAGTTAGTATTTTTTAGTATTTGTAAAAGTTCAAAAGTATATTTTATTTTTCAGAAATAACAGAATGATATAACAAAGAATTAAAAATAAATGAAATAGCAATTGAATTGTATTTTTTTTCAAAAAGTCGTGTAAAATAAAGAAACTTTAATGTTCTAATCTTGCTACTAATTTTAATCTTTATGTTTATACAAATATAATATGCATAATTTAACATTAAAATCATCAATCACTCTCCTTGAGTGTAGATCTGAAATGAAATCACTGAAACTATCTCTTTGCGCGGGAATGTCCCGAAAATTCAAACGTAGCGACATATTCCGTTAATCAGGCTTACTATAGTAAGTCTAAAATCATTTCTAAAAGTCAATAAAATAAAACGAAAATTTTCTAAAAACTGTTTGTCTCTTTCCTATCAATTTTTTATATGTACGGAAATTTATTGTCACTTTTTACTATCATTGTTATGTTCGATACTAACATCTAAAGTGTATATACATTTCATTGACACAATCTGTATTGTTAAAAAACGATTAAACGAAGAACTATTAGAAAACTAATTAAATTCTAATTTTGAAGCACTCGTCATTTAGTCTTGTTATTTTAAATTGTCAAGAAATTTGTATTGTGAAATTATTCTACAATATTGTTAAGAAATTGTATCACAAAAAAAGTATAAAGCTCACAAATCATTTATCTATCAATAAATTTCCTGTGTTTTACAGATACACATAGCGAAGACGCAAAAAAAATGCTTTTTGGAGCATTAATATTAGTTAGTACTATTTTAGCAACGAATGGATATCCTTCTACACCTCCAAGTTCTGACATAGGTCTGTACCATTTCCATATGATTTCCTCAACACACGATATTTTAATATTTATATAATGGTACTCTGGTATGTGTTATATAATTGAAAAAAGAAATTGTACCGTTAAAAGATAGAGAAATATACCTCACAACATTTTTCTTCATCGATTTACGATTATTAATTAAATATGTTTTGAAATTGAAAATTTCAATCGTCATTTCCTTTCATTAAATTGAAACATATTCTTTATGATCTATTCGTTCAATCTATAAAATTTGAAATCTTAAAATAAATGGTATGAATATGTATTATGGAAATCTTAAAATAAAAATGGGATATTATACGAATAAATCCAATAATATGGATTGTATGCATCATGAAATTTTATTTTAACAATGAAAAAAAGAAGCTGCTAAAGATTTATGTTACAATTTAATACTTCACTCATAAGCATTATTAATTAACGTAGTGCAAAAAATGTTACATTATACAACTTCATGTACCTTAGAATAATACTTTGGAACACAGTAAATTCTAACTAAATTATAGCATTAATAAAAGTAATATTTATATCTCATACTTCATGAAACCTTTACATAAAATTATTCTAATTTTTCAAACTATGTTAGATCTCCCTTTATATGATCTCTCTACTAATGATCCATCTCTCTCTAACTATGAACAAAAATATATTCTTAATATTTAATTTCTACTTTTTTACACGCTAATATTGAAAATAACATTCATTAACGGTTTATGACGTCACGCGTTACTGATTGTCCTTGTATGTAAATAGTACATCAGGATTCCATACAACAAGAAGTCGTATATCAAACTCCCGAAGAACAACAGTTTATACTTCAAAGCCCCGAAGAACAGCTAGTATTTCAAAGTCCCGAAGAACAAAAGTACCTGTATCAATCAGGACAAGAACCGTTTAACGATGATTTATTCGGTGACATTAATTCACCATCGGGATTCGTGGAACAAGGAGTAGATTTCACGATTAGCTGCGTTGGGGAGAACAAAATTTGTACCAGTAAAAACGATTGTGTAAATGGTTATGTCCATGTTGCGAACAATGTTGCCTATTCCGTACCCGGCAAGGTAAATATTCTTTTAACTTGAAACTATCTATGTAATTTTTATGATATGCTTTGTGAATGGCAATTTTTATCTGAATTGTTGACTAGAAAATTAAAATAGATCACGCTGTATAAGAGAAAATTGCTCAAAATGATGAATTTAAAAATGTATTTTAAGAAAAGTGGAGTGCAACCATTGTACAACGTCATGAAATTAATGTAAGTTCTGTAACACGAACGTTTATTTAAAAACAGGTTCAGCAATGTAAAGTGCAAACTGAAGTTTGTTGCACAATCGCAGAATCTCAAGGAACGGTCGTAAAGACTGAAACACCGAAACAAGAGTTAGGAAGTGACGCTAATAATGTAGGAACCAAAGTTCCGCGTCCACTCGTACCATCGCACCAAGGTGAAGAAAATAGAGGAACAGGAAATTTGCAGCCAGCCGACGATATCGCTGTACAAAGTATTACTCAAATTTGTACCAGAAATACATATAATTTCATTTTTGAGTTTTAAAATTTATGTTGCATTAAAAATAATTAATCAAATTCATCTAACATTAAAAATAATTAATCAAATTCATCTAACATTAAAAATAATTAATCAAACATAGAGTAAATAACATAACAGCCTTTCCTTTCGTTCAAAAATGTCAATTTCTTTTCTGATGTAAGGAAAAGTATAAGATTAATTTCAGGATTAATCAAATATTTCGTTAGCATTGTTACAACATTAAATCATCTTAATATTACAACGTTAAATCACAATTTCATTTTATAAAAACTGGAATTTTTAGATGCTTTTGCAGCCGCAATACCCGTGCAGGTTGGCTGTGCCGCAGCTCTTCTCTGCGTTGAAGAAAAGTTTTGCACCATGGACGGTACAATTAGTCCAGAACCTGTAACATTATCTGGTAAACAATTGTTCCAGCGTGTGCCACTAAGCGTAAGTAAATAAGTATCGAATTGTAACTAATCAATTACCTTTGCGCTCGAGAGGTGACGCTATGTCAACATCTTATTTAATACAATAATTTGAAATAAACATTCTTTAAATGATTCTATAATATGAAACATGAGATGTATAAACATAGTGAAATAAACAATAATAGAAATTATTAAGAGAGAAATAACCTCAAAAGAATTCATTTATAACTAAGTTTTAAAATTGCCGTTTACACACAGTCAAATTACCTTCGAGTGCAAAGGGTTAATTTAAATAAATGTAATACAACAAAGAATAAATACATAATGTTGGTGTAACCTGTTGATAAAACCTACGATAACTAGATGTAGTAAATCAGTCATAATTATATTATGGTAATTAATTTTAACTCTTCTCGTTCGATATTGCTTAAAAAACTTCTTTCTTCTTCAATAATAATCACAATGGGCACATACAATTGAAAGAAAAAAGCAATAGATAATTACTTTCTTAGTGTGACAATTTCTGTTTCAGTCCTTGTCAAATTATCGTATAAATATAAATAAAAATAAATTAAAATTAACTTATATTTGAAATTAGAAGCTACGTTAATTTAAAGCTACGTTAAAAAATATCTGAGATTACAACAATCCTTTATTAATTGAATAATTATAATTATATTTTTCTATAGACGTGCAAAAATCCTGATAATGGAATAATTGGCAAGTGCTGCCGGGATCCAAATTACGTGGATCCTTGGCCCACCGGAAATTTACCTGCTAATTACTCTGGTGGATTCGACGAACAAGGATTCCCAACGTTCCTGAATATCGCAAAAGTAAAACCTACGAAAACAACTAAAGGAGGAACAAAATCCCCTCGTCCACAACCTCGTCCGCCAGTTGAACAAAAAATAGAACCAACGTTGTTACCGGAAAATTCGGTAGTTTCTTCGGAAGTTTTGCTTCCGCCGATTGAAAATGTTCCTGTTGATGAAAACAGAAAACACCAGTTTGTAGAACAACCCGCACAGATATGCGGTGTTAGAAACAAGGTAAAATCATTCATAAATATATCATGATAAATGTGCAGTTTAAATAAATAAATTTATAAATGCATCTTATATAAATATGAATAGCTCTTGCACAAAATGAGAATGTGACTCAATTTCTGTAGTAAAAGAAATTCATAAACTAAATTAAATCTTATGTAAATATGTATATTTGTTTAAAGACGTACAAAAACCGCTTATTAAAGAATTTGTACACCGTAATCAATTTTTTAGTTGAAATGAGTTATCTGCAAAATATACTACGGTAAACTTTCAAATACATTTTTGTGTCCCAAAAATCACAGAACAATCAATATCAATCAATAAGTTGAAAAAGAAGAGTGATATTTTTGCATATTCAATATCGTTTTTAAAAAAAATTGAATTTAAAAATTATTCTCAAATAATAAAAAAATTTGGTTAAGATAATAAAGGTGACAATTTAATCAATCTTCATTGATTCAACAGCTAATGGCTGTTATAAAATAAATGTAATCGTTAATATCGCTGAAGTTATTATCATTATCAATTAGTGTCAGTTACATTATGGCTTACGTGTATAATATTTTAAAGTCACACTATACATCAGTATATCAAAAATATTGTAAAAAATAATGACTGATGATATATCTTAACAATAATAATATTTACATATATTAATTTCTAATGTGGATTGAAAATGTTAAAATTGTTTTTTTTATCATAAACAAATTTTCTTACGCATACTGTGAAGAATCTTCAAAACTAAATTTATGAACAAAAATCAAATAAATTTTATTAACAACGAAATTCAACACGAAAAAGATTTTTTTGTAATTTACACGTATAAATTGTAGACATTGAAAATGTTTTCAGGTGTTGCAAAAAGCTGAAGAATCAGAAACAGCGTTTGCCGAAATTCCATGGCAAGCAATGGTTTTGCATTCTGAGGAGAGGAAAATTCTTTGCTCTGGTGCCTTGGTCAGTGCTTATGATGTATTAACGGCTGCAAATTGCGTCGACAGGTACAGAAAACGATAATATTTTATTATTAATTTTATGGTAACTATAATACTCTGTTATCAATTTTATAGTAACGTTAGTATCTTATTATCGACTCTATAGCAACGATTTTATTACAAAGACAGCAACGATAATATTTTATCGCCTTCAGTATTTCATTTATTAAAATATATTTCTCTGTTCAGTTTCATAATTTTTCTATTATATTACTATCCTCTTTGCAATATCTATGTTCCAATAAATTCAATGTAGATTTGCATAAACATTTTTTATTAAAGTTGAGGTATTCGGAAGAAATCACCTGGATAATTTTTTAACTTTTCACAATAACGAAAAGTGTACTAGACAAATTTTACTTAATTTTAAAGATGCCATAATTCAGTGTTAATCACTTCTTTGTAGACAGACGTGTAAGGCCAAAATTGATCTGTGATCAGTTTTGTTTCCTGTAAAGAGACTAAAATATTTCTCCCGTTTGCGTAGATTGTTTTGTAACAGTCACGTGTAAAATATATTTGGATAAACCTTGGAAACTATAAACAATTCGTGACAAATTTTAATGTTAGGTCTCATTGTCAGACAATATTTTTAACATTTCCCGTATTGTTGGTTATTTTGATATTATACTATGCTACTTTTTATATCGAATGTTCCAACAAATCTATTTGGGCAAGGATATGCAGCTTAGTCGCATTCTTTATTTTTTTATGAAACCGCATATTTCACATAAATCAGTTAAATAAAAGTTGTTTGTCACATAGATAATTTATTACTAGTACATTATAAAATACCGAAAAAATTTCCTTTTATTGTTTTCGTTATTTTCTAGATATCAAGTACGTAAATGTATATATAATTTATATAATATACAATATTCTAACTATTGTTAACCATTTGTACTTTAATTTTACTTTTTCTAACAGTTGAAAATTATTTTTATTTTTTAATTAATCAAGGTTGTTGCCGAATGACGTTTCCATAAAGTTGGGAGAATGGAAACTAGGATACGAGTTAAAACATGAGGAGCCACTTCCTTATCAGATTATCAACGTGTCATATATCAATATACATCCTGGTTACTCGAAAGGATACGGAGAACATGATCTTGCAATTTTACATTTACAGCAGCCTGCAACATTTAATTATCATATAAATCCTCTTTGCATGCCCACTATAAGGACGCCATTGCAACAAAATAGACAGTGCATCACCACCGGATGGGGAAAATCCATCCTTCAAGGTAATTTAAAAAACTTGATATTCATTTGTATAATTTATCATGCAAATTATATTAAAAAATGCAGAGGTTTAAACACTATTTTTAGGCGAACCTGATTTCTTTAAAGACTATTCATATTGTCTTTATTAGTGCAGTACTATAATTTTCAAATACTCGCGCTAAATAAAAAATGTAAAATTATTATACTTTTGCACTGACCTTTTAAATAATTTATCGATAATATTAATTTCTTTCATAATGTACGGAAAGTACTAATTTTTAAATGATACATTTAAAGTAGGGATTTTTAAACAATTTACTATTACATTTCGTTTTAAAAAATAAGAAATAAAAATTAAAAAATATTTGAGTAATTTCTAAAGTTTACTCGCTTTATTATTATTAAACGAAATTTATATAACTATCAAATGTAAGCAACTATAAGTCTGCACTTACTATAATTTCATTATGTTTGTTAATTTTTGTTTTTCATGTAAAATGAGGTATTAGTCATTATTCATTTTCGTCAATATATTGAGAACAAGAATTTAAGTTAACGTTATATTTTTCTGGCTATACTAAAGAATTGCACGTAAATATTTGTACAATTAATTTTTATTTTTATACTGCATTTACAAGGAAAATGGTTTCTGCGTTCAGAAATTTTCCTTGTAAACATTGAAAAAATTGTTTTCTTGTTATTTTGATCATCTTTATTCGAAAACAACGTGCAATATAGTAGTGTCCATTTATTACATATGTTTGCCTTAGACACTAAAAACTGAGTCATAATCTTGACACAAAATTCGGGATTTTCGTATACTTTTAACTACCAATTAATTTATACAGAAATTATTCTGATTTAGCCCATTACGCTGGAGCGATCATGCACGCAGTAAATCTGGACATCTTGTCACAAGAACGTTGTAAGCAACAGATATCGCATACAGACCTAAGTGTTAACACTGTAGACGGAACTATTTGTGCTAAAACTACAAAGGAAATAAATAATGTATGTGAAACAGACGTTGGAGGACCACTAGCTTGCGAAAATGAAAGTGGTCTTTATGAATTAGCTGGAATTTACAGTCAAGATACAGGATGCCTTCCAACAAATCAGGTAAAATATTTCTTTCTAATGCATACAATATTTTTATAATATTTTTGGTCATATTATTACACTGTTTTATAGTTAACGATTTCGTCTGTGGTTACAGCGAAAACGCTTTTTGACAAAGTATTCCTCTAAATAGATCGACAATATTTACGAAAATTTGTTTTTTTATATTAATACACTTGATCAAACGATGAAATGTTAATTCGTCAGAAAACATTTTCACTGTACTTCTACCTAATAATTACATAATTAGATATTATAACATAATATGTTATAAATTTATAAATTGTGTAAAGTAACTGTATTACAGAATACTATTAACTGTTATAAATATTAATTGTTAACATTTCAGGTTGCTATTTTTGCTCCATTAGATGATAAATGGGTAAAAGAAACGATGCTTAAATCACCGAGCGAAAGTTTAACGTTTACGAATCAAAAAGAATCTAGTACAGAATATCAAGAATCGCTACTTGTAAACGATTATAGACAAAGCACGTTATCCACGGATAATCAGTACCTACCTCCAAATTAAAAATTCATTAACCAACGCATTTGTACTATTATTGTATAATATTTTAATTGTCCATAAAATAGTTTTAAGGAGACCAATAAAAAACTTACATTCCTAATTATTGTATAAGATATTACCAACAGAATATGTTATGTAATTATTTCTTGAACTGACGATGTAATAAAGTATTATTAACATATTTAAATACTGTTTTATGCATTAAAATTATGTAGGTATGATTGAGAAGTAATTTAGGAGGTTGAAAATATATTCGAAGCCTCATTCTTATTTGTATTTTCGCGCGCTTTGTCTGAAATTGACAGTTACCATCAAATGCTCGTCCGTTACAGTCCGCGATTGTGTTCTTTAAAAAAGTACGTCTGAAATATATATTGCGTATTTCTGTACATTCTCACGCTTTGCGTTTATTTTTCCCTACATAATCCTAACATAATTTTATCGACTAATACTCGAATACAACTTTTGAATTAACTTACCTGATTAGTTAAAATATTTTATAGTTAGTTAGTGTTAGTTTTCGAAGCAATGTGATGGATGTTATCGTGTATTAAGCCGAAAAAATCAACATGAAATCAACAATTCTCTGATAAAAAAGATCCTTTATTTCTCTTATATATATGTAATATACAAATTGTAACAAATAACAAATATTATACAATAGAATAAATTTCATTAAATCAACACAAAACTCGATGTATATGACTGATGAAAATATTTGCATATCCCTAATATTTTGTACTCTATATGTATATATGACATATGACCAATGAAAATTTTTGCATATTCCTAATATTTTATCTATGTATAATATTATATATATAATATTCTCAATAGTTTAAATCTCGCTCTTAATTTATACGTCGATATGGGTACAATTTACACAGAGCTAAGCTCAGTTCATGTAGTCGTTTTAAAATCAGTTTATGAACACACCGTAATAGCAACAAAATGTACATATTTTTCATTGTATAATTCGTTTTACAGAAAGTCATACTCACTTTGCGCAGCTCGAAAAGTTCAAATGGCTTCACATTATCAATGTGGTACTCCCTCTACCGCTTGCTTTTTACTTCATGGTCATATACAGGGTGAGACCAAAGTCTGAAATCGGTGAAATAACTCGAAATCAAGATATTTTAGAAAAAAGTATTTTATGGATAAGTTGTAGAGCTTCAACAAATGTATCAAATAATGCTATTTGACCTTGAGCATAAGTACAACAGAACTTCATCAACTCTAAAATTCTAAATGGAAACCCCTACTTTTTATGTAATCTCGTAGTTGACATCAAAAGCTTTTAAAACATTATCAAGAAACTTCTTTCAGTTGAGTATTTTCTGAGACACGAGGCGTAAAGTTACAAGTATAATAACTCCACAAATTGTGTCATTGATAATAAATAAAAGACTACCGGATATATTCGTTTGGTGTCATTATGTCATACAGGCACATGCGTGTTGTTGTTAATTACAGAATGTGAGAAACCAATCAGAATTAACATGCGCAGAATGAACAAAAATTCCTCATTCAAGAAGGTATGATCTTGTGTGGAACAAAATTTAAAACATTTAATCAAATGATACTTTTTTTTAATTCTAATTCTTATAAAAACACACGTATCGACAATTTTATAAAAATATTATTTACAAAAAATATTAGTTTTAATTAAATTTGTACCTGATCTTTCATCCAATAAACAGCCGTGGCACCAATAGCTTCATATTTCGTTTATGTCACGTTAAGTTTATATTTTCAGTGGCGCCAATTTGGTGCAATTGTGTCCACTTTTGGTACTAAAATATTGAATCCTTTTCCCTGCTATCATCCGACACAACATCTATTCAAAAAGTTGCGAGCATTTAATGACGAAAATCATGTACTTGTAGTATAAAACGACGAGCATTCGAAATATCTTTGTAGGAAATTAATTCTACTTTTTGTATCGTACAGTCAAATAACATTATTTCCATTAAACATGGATAAAAGAAAAATGTCGTGAGTATTTTACCATCCTTGTTTGAGCATTTTAAATTTTTCAAATATTTTTCTCATGCAAAAATGTATTGTTTCGTTTCATAATCAGTCAGTGTCTGCTTTTTTAAATTAAGTTTAACACGTTTGTTTCAAAAGCTAAAGAATTATATATAATCGCGAAGTGTTAGGTTAATTCTAGCTGGTTTACTTTTGTACCTTTTCACTATTGCTTCTTCTTAATTCATTTTTGTGATAACGTATTATTTATTTTTTGAAAATGTAAAAAATTACGAATACATTAAATAGTAATATTTTGTTTAAATGTTAGTGTGCTTTTAATAGTAGGTTAGTTTGTTGTCTAAAAGTTTTAACACGACTTCGAAAATGACTGTCATTGTCACTTTTCGTTTTATACAAATTAATGTATATTTTATTTATTTTGTAAATTATTCTTGGGCATGGCGTAACTTACAATAACTAGAAAAATAAAATATATAAATTTATAGAATTTAATGTATTACTGACTAAAAATGTTTAATCGTAAATTTAAGTTATGAAAAATAAAGTAAATTAATCTTACGGTATTTTTTAATTAAGAAGGGAGATTTTTTAAGTTAACAATAATTATTATTTTTTCTTTTTGTGTATTAGTATCATTTTAACTGTTTAAACTGGAACTAGTTTTTACATTCTTTTAATAGTAAAAGCTTTTGAATATGGGAATAAATAATGTTTCAATTTTATATGTTCTGCATTTAAATATGAAATTTACTTGGATAATATAATATTTTATTTAAAAAAAGGATACTAATTATTTGTATATATGTAAACTGTAAAATCTTATCTAATGAAGTTTTATATTAATACTTTACCTTAATTATATAGTCTTTTATATAATCAACAAAATCCTTTTGAAAAATAAACATACAATACTTTATATATTAACTTCTTCATTGCTTTAATATTTTATTTATTTGTTATTAAACTAAAAGTAAGTGTAATGAAATAATGCTGAGAATTAATAGACTAGACATGGTATAACAGAAAATTATTAACTGACTTATTAACATCTTATTTGTTTCAGGACAGCAGGGGATTCCCTGTACCAAATATTAGAAATTCCAAAAACTGCCACTCCCGAAGAAATAAAAAAAACTTACAGAAAATTAGCATTAAAATATCATCCTGACAAAAATCCAAATAATCCAGAAGCAACAGAAAAGGTAAAATTAGTTTAAAAATATTTATTTTTAAAAACGAATTATCATTGAGTTTATTTTCAACAATTATTTCTCAAAGTATAAGTATAAATTATTTCATTTTATATTAACAAGTATAAAACATGTAATATATTTAATTAATATTTCATTGATGCTCTACATTTGTTTCTTATATCTTGTACAAAATTTTAAATTATACACTTATCACACCCTTTTTGGGCAAAATTATTAATGTATAGAGATCATATCATAAGTGAATCATTTGTACATATACATTAGATAAGATAAGATTCAATTCAGATAATATTTCTTATGTCATAGAGTTCAGTTATAGCTGTTTAAAAGAAGATGTACAAACATTATCAAGAAAGTTTCAAATGTACTTTACTCTAGGTCATTGAATGCATATACTACTATTCACTATATACCAACCAGATAAACCATTATGTTATTGGTATTATTTATGAATCTAACCCAGTAAAATTCAATTTTCACAAAAATAAGATACGAATATATGTATGTGATATTTAACGTAGAAGAGGTCATTTCTCTCTTTATGATATGAGAAATATTTTTTTTATATTTAAAATAGTTTTCAAAGACAAATCAGATAAAAGTAAATTTGTTCATAAATTAAATTTTTAAATCTGTTCTTTTAAACTTATAAATTTAAGATAGAAAAGGTATTTAAATAGATTATTTTGTGCACAATACTGTGTATAGTGTAAGATAATTGTCTTCTACATTATAAGATTATATTTTTTAATAACAAAATTAAGTAAAATATTTTTCAGTATATTGAAATCAATTGATCTTACAAAGAACAAATTGTATTAATCAGATCATTCGAGTAACTCTAGAATTAGTCAGTGTTAAAAATAAAAGAAGTTTTAGAATTGCTAAATTTCATTTCATTTATAAGGCAATACTAAACAAACAAAGGAGATTTGTTCTTCGTAAAAAGTAGAATAATATAAGTAATGCACACATGTTATTCAAGATTTTATTGGTACTTTACATGTGCAATATAAATATCAACTTACATACTGTTTTATTTAATTAAAATAGTAATTTAATATATAAATTTTATTAAAATAATTTTAATCTGTAACTAAAAGGGTGGAGTTTATCAAATCCTAGGAGTTTTTATTAAAAAGAAGAAAAATTAGATATTATACAAGTAATTTTATGTGATATTTTATATTCCCAATTCTATTGTTTTTGTTTTTTAACATTAGGTAAATGTCTTAGTACATTGAATAAGCAATGAATTTCATTTTATGCACAGTAGCAAGACGAAAAAGTAAAGAAAAAAATTAATATACTAATTCAGAATATTTAAAATATTATTTGTGAAAAATTGCTTCTTTTCTTTATAAATATAACATAATCTTCAAAATATTTTAGTATATGCATAAAATGGTTATTCATTTGAAAGTATAATTTAACTGATATGTTACATATATTCATTTTTAAATACCATTAATCTTCTTAAGTTTTGAAGACAGCAGTAAAGTCTACAATTGAAATATTATAATAATAATTCTTTATTTCTACAAATTAATTTGTTACTGAGCAAGATCAAATTATTGTTTTAATACATAAACAATATAAGAAAAATTAAAAATGTAAATTATAGTCTTCAAAATATTTTTTATAATAAAATCATATTAAGATTCAGATTTTAAATATAGTTTCTAATTACAATTTGTTTAAATGATATGTTTCAGTTTAAAGAAATAAACAGAGCCCATGCTATATTAACAGATTTAACTAAACGAAATATATACGACAATTATGGATCTCTTGGATTATACGTTGCTGAACAATTTGGTGAAGACAATGTTAATGCATACTGTATTAATTGCCGTTGGTTCAATGTAAGTCTTTATCTTTTTCTGAATTTTTATTTTGCTTAGTTATCAAATTAATAAATTTTTTATGTTCATTTTTAAATAAAGATTTTTTAGCATATCCATTTTTGGAAAGCAGTAGTGTATAAACAATTGAATATATCTTTACATCCTTATTACATTTGTATTTCATTTACTATTTGAAACTTTATTTCCAAAATATATTATTTACTTCAGTGTAATATATAAATAAAATTTACAAATTTTTCTAGTATTATAATCATTTTCTTATTAATATGTAATGTATTAAAATGCGAAATATTTTTATTTATAGGCACTCTTCCTGTTTTGTGCATTGATAACTGCATGTTACTGCTGTTGCTGTTGCTGTTGTTGCTGCAACTTCTGTTGTGGCAAGTGTAAGCCTACACCGCCTGAAGATAGTGGAGCGTACCATAATTTACAGGTAAAATTCTTATTTATTTACCTTATTTCTTAAAGTATATTAAGCTATAAATGACTTTATTTTGACCAATAATATAAAATTACATATGTTCTCTGTAAGTGCTTTCTAGTTATTATACATGAATTTTATTGTGCACACACATGTATTTTTCACGTAAGTATAATTACCAAGAAAATAACTTTTATAAATTATAACATATGTGTTTGCTCATAAATTTGTTAAATCATTATTGTTAGGATATTACCGATATTATTTATATTATTGTAAGTGATGTTAATATTTATCACTTATGATCTAGTCTGAAAATAAAATCAGAAAGTCTTACTTTATTTTTTTTCGGTGATTGCGAAGTATTCGCATTTTAAACAAGTTTGATTTGAATACATGTCGTTTATATGGAACAGAATATGATATTAATCGGCTATTACGTCACCAACTTATACGTGCAAGATGAATCATTTAAATTATTGCATATCGTTTCTTGGCAAAACTTTTTTATTATATGTCTCACACAATAAAATGTAGAGGAAGTCTAAGAAAATGTTTATTATCTTAAGATTCATTTACGCAATTGACAATATTTTAAATGTACAAGTGACTTATAGATATTCATATTTGGTTTGGTTTATTGTGTCCGTATTTTACATATATATATATATATAAATTTCAAAAAGTTAGGCATAGTTACACATTAATAAGTAGAGGATACTATGAAAAGGAAACAACGTGATAATGATTGTTGATATTTTTAATAGTAAAATTATATAACCCCATTTTTTAGAAATGGGATCACATCTATTTCTACAAATGATACGTTAAATGAAAATGTACATGTGCTTTTTATCTTGAAGAATTTAAGTAATCAAGATTTATAGCCAAAGAAGTGAGATTATCAACAGTTAAAATTACTGTTAAAGGTAGTTAATACTAATGGAATATAGACAGATAAAAATATGATTACTTCCAATCCTTTCAGGATTATTTTGAAGCAAAGTCTGATAGTGTTAAGTCGTAAGCTTTTATCATTGCATCTTACAAGAACTGAAGTTGATTATGAATACAAATTAGTCTCTGCAATTAAATATCTCGGTTATTAAAGAAGTTGTTGAGAAATTACTGATAATTAGGATCATTTTAGATATATCACAAAGAAAATACAAATTTAAAAGTGAATTTTTTCATTGTCTCTATTAGTTTTCTAGAAAACGCTTTGCATTTTTTTATGTGACTTATCTTGTGTATAAGTTGATTGAGGTATTATCTTTAACCATTTACAATTTTTTTAAGATGAAATAAACATTCTTTTATTTTATTAAGAGAAAACATTTTTTAGAGTCTTAAATTTTAATTACAGTATTCAATATAATGTACAGTTTACTCTGTTTTTTTTTTTTTTTCAGGAAAAATTTTTTATATAAAAATTGTATAATATTTATATTCTTATACCTTATTTGATTTTGTGATGATTACAAAAAAGGTCTGTGAAGATAGTGTTTAAATTTACATATGAGAATAATAATTTGTAGAAAATAATACAGGATAATTTATAGTGATTAAAAAACAATTATATAAAAATACTTTAAATGAATACAGCTCGATTTTTAAATTGATATTTTTGCAGTTCAGTTATTACAGAATTGTTAAAATATTAAGCTGATGCGTATTAAATGTGGAACTCTGAAAATAGTAAGTTAAGACATTGTTTGATGATATAAAAGTATCTGAAAACAGCACTTGTAGCATGTTAGTTTGTAGCTTACATAAACACTATGTTTATACTTTTAATATAAAATGGTGGGTTGCCAATTACAGAAAACGATGACCAATTTTCATGCATATAGCCTAACAGAAATCAATAATATGACACTCATGCTATATCTATTTAAGTCTTATATCTATTTAAAAGTTATAATTAGTCTTATTTCAAAGTTTACAATTAATTTGAGTTAGTAGACAGAGATTCTTAAATTCTTTGTAAAATCTATAGTTCTATGGCCAAGATATTCATTGTTCCCTTGATCTTTTTATCCAGTGGAAAAACAACTAATAAAAAATATAAATGTATCATTGTAAAATGTTTCAAAGAATCAATGTGAAAGTATAATGTAAAACGATTATTAATTAATGAGATATTTGAAATTGTAGTATGCAATACCTTATTTTTCAATTTAATTGCTTGATCTTTGAATTTCTACACAGTTGCATTAATCAATGAAAAAAAAATTGAAAAAAGTTCAAAATTTATTCCTACTAAAAATGCGATTAGGCTTATCGTGTATTTTAGAATTGATGCGTGCATCACAAATGCATTACAATATTATAAGGCAAGGAGTTGAAATATTTAAAAAACTATTAATTTTACTGGTATAATATCTTAATACTTATCTGTGTAAAAAAATTTGACAAATCAATCTATGTAAAATAGATATGATATTCCATTTAAATATTTAAACATAATCTTCACAAGATTTTTTCAAAGTCATTACAAGGTCAAATAGACAGAAGTATAATAATACTCCTAGATATTAAAGAATTTTGACATGTTTAAATATTTACATACTTAAGAACTGTGATCCTTATACTTTTGAAACTACAAGTGTTAACATATGTAGCACTTATATGACGCAGGGTGTCTCGTTTGAAGTATACTTTCCTATTATCTCCTGAAGTATTTATTATTCACAAAAGTATTTTAAATAAATCTTATTCTATTTCAAAAGTATCATCCTATTATGAATACAAATCTTATCTAAAGAGAGATAAAATATTTCTAATATTTCACTGTGACTTTTGCTTTTCTAATTGAAATTATATTGTACATGTATTTCACAAATAACATAACATGAAAAAATACTTTTTTCAAAGGGTGCAATATACGTTTGTTAAAAAAAAAACAGAGACTATTAAACTAATATGAAATACATAAACACTATGTAATATGTATATGTATTTTGTATACAGGGTGTTACCTGTAACACTACTCACGATTTTTCTCCCACTTGCAGCCACCTTACGAAAAAAAGTTTAGAACAATATTTGCAGGGTATGAAGTACACAATAGATATTAGTAAAGCAAATTTTGAAAACAGTTTGTTCTCTTGGCAAAGTCAAGGTCACCTTGGGTTTTTTAAATAGGAACATACATTTTTTTTTATTCATATCATTAGAGGACTATATATTTTTTTTTATTCATATCATTAGAGGACATCGAAACGAATTCAAAACATATATTACATGATATTTTTATTAACATATTACTCGATTTACAGGAGTGGAAATGTGAAGTACTTAGCTTTTGACTTTGGTAATGTAACCATTATTTGACTCCGAAAAGATTACTGAATGTAAACACGCGACTAGAATGTAAGAAAATACACTGTTCGAGCCTGAATGCTCGGATAAGTATAATGATTGAGGTAGGAAAAGGTGATGTTCACAATTGTAAAGTGGACTGTATATAAAAGCTTTACTATTAAAACTTAGACGCGTGACTTATTAAGGGTCTGTCCCTTCGAAAATACAAGTTCGAATCCGTAAGTGTCCGACGGTCGGAACACTACCAAGCCCCTGTGGCTGCTGAGAATTTTCTAACGCTTTCCACGAAAATCAGGAATAAGGTAAACCCTTGAAGGTTCCCCTTCCAGAGATGTTAGATATTTTGGCGCTCAAGTGGGGTTGAGAACTTTCCCTATTTTTACCATGTGACAGGCAACTGTGATGTTTTGCACAGTTTTCTAATTTCTCTGCCTGCCACATGGTTTACAACATTGACCTAGACTCGAGTCCACCCTGGCCCGACGATGGGCTGACGATCCTGCCATAAATAAACTATTATTTATGGGCCCCTAATAAGTTCTCAACAGCGATTATTTGCGGTTTAATGGGTGAGCTACATTTAAATTTGTTAATTATTCAATTCACATTTTTATTTGTTGAATGGAAAAGTTATTCAATTTTTTAAAAATGAGAATTTGTTCTTTTTCATCATTACAATATCTAACGAAAATAATTTTCCATATTTTATCTATTATTTCTTTGCGATAACGAATAAACGTATTGAATAAATTCGATTTATTTTGATTACGTGAGTAGAGACTAATTTTGTTATTTCTTATTCATGAATGAATGATAATTCAACAATAATCCAGATTTTTTTATTCATTATTCAATGTAACTTTCATCTAACAGCTTTCTATTATACCGACTTTATACCGACGTTATACCGACGTTATACCGACAGTATCGATACATTTGTTCACGACGACGATCGGCCGTCATATTCAAAGCTGTCGCTCACGCTGTCGCGCGACCGGTCTATACGCGCTCTCATTGGTCAGTGTTTTTCATTAATAATTCAAAAACTAAGCTTTAACCAGCATTTTGGTAAAGGAAAAAGTTGTTCAGAATCACTCCTTAACAAAAAATTATAGTTCCATTTAAAAAAACGAAACTTCACCATCATATCTTTTACATTAATAACAATAAAAAAATTTTGCTTCTGCCAAAACATAGGGCCTCTTTTACCCTGCAATTTCCATATATGAATTAAACAATTTTTAGTAAAATAACTTTTATCATCGAAAAGAATGTATAATTCGAGATAAAGAATATGTAACATGTCATTTGTAAAAAAAGTGGACTTCATATTCAAGTTCATTAACCTATAGTATGTAGAGCTTTGAAGATGATTAAAGATAATTTATGACGCTTTAAATTCTGTTTTTGCCGAATGTCTATAACTCAATGATTGCTGAGTCCAAGAAACAATAAATATGTAACATGTTTCTATGTTGTTGAATGAAAACAGTAAATACAATTCCATTTTCATTAAGATTTTCAGTCTTAGTGCCTTTACAATATAAAAGAACTTACCACATGCATATTAATAAATTACATATTGCTATTTACAACTTTGAAGAGGGTACAGTTATCATTTAGGGGATATAATAAATCACTAGGTTGATATTTAAGATCGTCATAGTTTCATCATGGTAATAAAAGACCTTGAATGATCTTCGAAGACTAGCATAGACATATAGATTAATGAATGAACTACATACTTGAATAAATGAAAACACATTGCACATGTATTTGAAATATAGTACAACTTTGTACTACTATGTACTACTATGCCAATAATTTGGCAGATAGAGTTCAGTTATAGTGTTTTTTTTGAGTTGCATAATACTGTATTATATTATAAATGCTGCTTATTGTGAAAATAATAATAGTAACAAACAAATAACAATAAATATGTATATGTATATATACATATATATATATATATATATATATATGTATATATACATATACATATTTATTGTTATTTGTTTGTTACTATTATTATTTTCACAATAAGCAGCATTTATAATATAATACAGTATTATGCAACTCAAAAAAAACACTATAACTGAACTCTATCTGCCAAATTATTGGCATAGTAGTACATAGTAGTACAAAGTTGTACTATATTTCAAATACATGTGCAATGTGTTTTCATTTATTCAAGTATGTAGTTCATTCATTAATCTATATGTCTATGCTAGTCTTCGAAGATCATTCAAGGTCTTTTATTACCATGATGAAACTATGACGATCTTAAATATCAACCTAGTGATTTATTATATCCCCTAAATGATAACTGTACCCTCTTCAAAGTTGTAAATAGCAATATGTAATTTATTAATATGCATGTGGTAAGTTCTTTTATATTGTAAAGGCACTAAGACTGAAAATCTTAATGAAAATGGAATTGTATTTACTGTTTTCATTCAACAACATAGAAACATGTTACATATTTATTGTTTCTTGGACTCAGCAATCATTGAGTTATAGACATTCGGCAAAAACAGAATTTAAAGCGTCATAAATTATCTTTAATCATCTTCAAAGCTCTACATACTATAGGTTAATGAACTTGAATATGAAGTCCACTTTTTTTACAAATGACATGTTACATATTCTTTATCTCGAATTATACATTCTTTTCGATGATAAAAGTTATTTTACTAAAAATTGTTTAATTCATAAGTTAAAATAATAAGGAAAATTTAAACAAGATTAGAAATTCAAGCACTAAGTATTGCTTGTTGAATTATTTTAATTCTTATGTTGATTGTGTTGATATATTGATATATTGAATTGGTTAATATATTGATGTATTGAATATTTTGATTCAATCATTCATATAAATATTACTAAAGATGAATATGTGTATATTTCATCTAATATAGAATAAAAAATATAAAATTTGAACAACTGTAAGTATTGTACTACTTATGAATATAGGCTACTAAACTATAAAATGCAAGAAAAATATACTAAAGAAATATGGTATATTTCTACTGTTAGATTCTCCAGAAAGTTCGTGCGGATTTTCCTATGCGATGACTTCATTGTTTAGTGCGCTGATTTTGTTGTTATAATTGAAAGAATAAGAAAATCCGTAAACTCATAAATAATCTGTCCCTTATACTTCTTTTTTGTCTAAAATTAAATCAGTTTGTATCATAATTATAATTGTATTATTAATAGTTGATGCATGCCGATTTTGAAGATGCTTTAACACGTAGATCTCGAGAAAAAAAGGTAATACATACGTTTTATATTATTTTTAAACAAGGTTGCAAACCTCTGTAATTCCAAAGTCTCAAAGTCCTGAACTTCTGAAATTCCGAAATTCTGAAGTTCCAATCTCTTCGAATTCCGAAGTTCTCAAATTTCGAAATCCCAAATCTACAAGAATCCAAAAATTCCAAATTCCGAAAAATAAAATATTTTATGATTTATACTTTGAATTACACATACATGATAATATTAGCATCAATGTTTGAGGCTTTTAAACATCTTATTGCGGCCTCACTTCTAAACGTATTACACCTCAAAGAACTCTTCATAAATTAGCTAGATTAAATCGTAAAGATTCTGTTCTTGCAAAATAATATAAGATTGTATTACACGATAAATACAACAAATTATTAAGCTTTATCGAGAAATATCAATGTGTTCTGCACAGCTCATCTTTATATAATCATTATTTATTTCGTTTCACAAAATCATTCGACAGGTAAAATTTAAAGTGTCACCGAGTATGATGCAGTTTTTCGTTTTATAGAAATGGAATTTAAAATCTTATTTCACGTTGAGAAAGGAGCATTTGAACATAAAAGTAAAGGTATGAATAAGTGTATGCAATATTTATATGTGGATAGCACTCGCACGAACTTTGTGGGGCACCTGATAGATAAATAGAGTATTCAATTAATACAATTTTTGTTGTGGAAACCATTTTGTTCAGTTTTTTATCGTTGTACAAGGGTGTTTTTGAAATTGTGGCGCAACGGGTAGTTTAGTTTTCTTTAGGAAAGTACAATTTTGTTATGTGTACATAATATGAACATTACATTATTTTTTAATTTAAATTAAAATTGAAAATTTGTCAGTATACCTCTTTAAAAAAATTACGGTTATGATCATAATAGCAAAAAATTTTATTTCGACATAATGAATGCTATACATAAACGAATACGGTAATAATGTATTATTAATTAGGACCTTTTATAGTGTTGTTGAAATAGTAATGTATATTACAAATTAAAAATAGTATGTACACGTGTAACTAAAAATATCATGAAAATGTATTTCAACAGAGTTAATAGTTATATTTATAAATTTATATAATCTATTTACAGATATATCTATCGATAAAATTATCAAAATATTTGAGATTGTTATCTTCTTTATCGCGAGTAAGTTTTGAAGAATTTCATGATATAATAATTTTGAAGAAAAAAGGTATTTTTTATTTGTTTTCTCAAAATCAATCTTTTTATTGGTTGCACTACAGTTTCATAAATACCCTATATATTATTTTAATAATGATGATAATAGCGATTGAATACATATTTTCTTTCCTTTTTCTTTTTTTAATTTATACAATTGTAAAATTGAGAAAAATACTCATTGTCAGAATATTTGTTCTACTTTTTTTCACTAAATATGATATTAACGAATAATTATTACAATGTAAATATTTTTTAAAAACGAATTCAAATCTAATTAAAACTTGTACTTTAATTTTAAAATGGAGTATCTGTAAGATATTTTATTTGTGTTATAAAAAGGTATGATTTTGTATCGTTTCATTAAGAATTGAATGATTTTATAAGGAGCACTTTCTAAATGATCAATTCAAATTTTAACGTATCTATTTATTTTGACAGTATTTATTATTTTAGTTATCTTTGTTGTTTATAGAGATATCAATTTTTTTTTACTATTTATGAAAAAAGTTTATTTGCAAAAGCTGTATGGTGTTGAAACGGCCGCAATGCAGTAGTAATAATTTTATTGTAAATAATAGATTTTTCAGGGCAAATCAAAATTGCTACAGATTACACCATTTTCGTTCCTGAAGGATTTCAACGACGAGTACAAAATCATACAATGTTAATACGTTGAATATCACAATGAATACATGGACATTACAAATGTAGTTGCAAAAATGCAACTATTTTTGCAAATGCAACAATTATTATTTAAACTTGTTATATTCACTGTGTTATGAAATTACTATATGTAGTATTGATGTTATTTAAAATTTTAGTAACGTGAAAAATGTGAAAAGTAGTGTCCATGTGCATCATTCTATTGTTTCAATTATAAAAGTTTATATCTACATGTATTCTCACTTCTGTGTCGATTACACAGTCACAAAATACATGTCTCTTATGCAATATGCAAGTGTACTTACATAATTTTTTTATTTAACATTAAATGTTTCCAACTTTTTGTGATCGTCTAAATATCCAATTTCATCTTTTAGAACGAATAAAATATAACAAGTTATTTAAGATGAACTATTAACATGAAAATTAAAGGAAGGTTATTCTGTAAATCTTCTTTAACAAATTTAAAATTTTTTTTAAGAAAGTCCTTATTAACAAAAGAATATACATATTGTAAACTAATTTTTTTTCAAATTTTATACAAAATTATAGCTTTCAGTATTGCAATTCTACATTTATAATATTGTACAAAAGTATTAAAAATAATAAAAGTAATAAAAATATAAATTTATAATAAAAACAAAAGTACTTTTTTATGTAAACATATAATTATGGGTTTTAGTTACAATGTGTAATGCCAGTTCAACGTCTCAATAAGAGCTGTGAAAAAAGTTGAACATTATTTGAAAAATTAGTAATGATAGCTGGATATCTTTTACGTTATTAATTACTATACGTAAAATACTCAATATCTTTATATAAAATTTAGAGAAAATTAAAATATGTTCATTATTTTATTGATCAAGATATTTAAAAAAAGAATTTTAAATTTGTCAGAAGAAATGCTTTCGAATATATCTTCCTTTTTTAATTATCAAATTTCTCTCTTAAAAAGTCGAATTACAAAATTTTTTAGGACACTTCATCTACAAAATTTCTTACCGCTATGTTATAACGTGCTGAATATAATTTTTGTAAATAAATTTTTTCTGTATAATCTCTGCAAAAGTATTAAAAATAATTTAAATGATCGTGGTTATTATAGTTGTCTATCCTGTATGGAATGTGAGACATTTAAATAGAAATATTATTAATCATTATATGGAAAGAATCTGAAGTATAAAATTACATTGTGTTTGATAATAAAATTGTATTGATACAATGATATAAAATATTATTCTTTTGGTTTTTCAAGGTAAATATACAAGATTTGAGGTCCGTCGTTTGTGAAGTAGAGTCATATATCTTTTTTACATCTGTCAATTCGACAAATTACTTTAATATTATTTCTACCAAGAGGTGTCAAAAGACACCTTTCAAATTTTAACTCAAAATTATTCTCTAACAAAGGACATTACCCAATCGCCGATTTTGATGCGCTTCGAGTATGATATAGAACGCAAAAAAATATTTGACACGTACTTTTTTTTTATCGGCCATCGCCCATGCTGAAGGGGTGAAAATGGCCCCCAAAGTTGGGGTTGCAAAACATATTTTCTCGAATATCTCAGGAATTATTAGGCCTAGACAAAAAATTAAAAGTGCAAATTTTTCTGTTTTAAAAGGCCAATAATGTGGCGTAAGTGGATTTTTGAAAAATTTATTTGTTTAAAAAATATATT